TAATAGGAGTCCCAGAAGAAGAGCAGGAAAAAGGGGCAGGAGGTTTATTTGAACAAATTATAGCTGAGAACTTCTCTAATATGGGGAAGGAAACAGGCTTTCAAGGCCAAGAGGCACAGAGAACTCCCCTCAAAATCAACAAAAATACGTCACTGCCATGACATATTATAGTGAAACTTGCAAATTACAAAGAGAAAGAGAAAATCCTGAAAGCAGCTTGGGACAAGATGTCCTTAACCTGTAAGGGTAGACACAAAAGGCTGGCAGCAGACCCGTCCACAGAGACCTGGCAGGCCAGAAAGGACTGGCAGGATATATTCAACATGCTAAATGGGAAAAATATGCAGCCAGGAATACTTTATCCAGCAAGGCCTTCATTCTGAATAGAAGAAGAGATTGTTTCCAAGACAAACAAAAACCAAAGGAACTCATGAATGCTAAACCAGCCCTGCAAGAAATATTAAAGAGGACCCTTTGAGCATAAAGACAGACCAAAAGTAACAAAAACCAGAAAGGCACAGAGACAATCTACAGGAACAGCAACTTTACAGGTAATACAATGGCACTAAATTCATATCTTTCAATAATTACTCTCAATGTTAATGGACTAAATGTTCCAATCAAAAGACATAGGGTATCAGAATGGATAAAAAAAAAAATAAGACCCATCGATATGTTGCTTACAAGAGACTCATTTTAGACCCAAATCCCCTCCAGATTGAAAATGAGGGGGTGGAAAACCATTTTTATTATGCTAATGGACAAAAGAAAGCTGGAATAGCCATCCTTATATCAAACAAACTAGGTTTTAAACCAAAGAACATAACAAGAGATGAAGAAGGACAGTATATCACAATAATGGGGTCTATCCAACAAGAAGATCTAACAATTGTACATATTTATGTCCCTAACTTGGGAGTAGCCAAATATATAAATCAATTAATAACAAACTTAACAAAACTCATTGATAATAATACAATAATAGTAGGGGACTTTAACACCCCACTCACAGTAATGAACAGATCATCTAAGCAGAAGATCAACAAGAAAACAAGGGCTTTGAATGACACACTGGACCAGATGGACTTAACAGATATATTCAGAGCATTTCATCCTTAGGCAGCAGAATACACATTCTTTTCAAGTGCACATAGAACATTCTCCAGAATAGATTACATACTGCATTACAAATCAGGACTCAAGTGGTACAAAAAGATTGTGATCATACCATGCATACTTTCAGACCCCAATGCTATAAAACTTGAAGTCACCATAAGAAAAAATTTGGAAGGACCACAAATACATGGAGGTTAAAAAACATCCTACTAAAGAATAAATGGGTCAATCAGGAAATTAAAGAATTTTTAAAAACATGAAAGCAAATGAAAATGAAAACATGACAGTTCAAAATCTTTGGGATGCAGCAAAGGCAGTCCTAAGCAGGAAATAGAGAGTAATACAGGCCTTCCTCAAGAAGCAAGAAAAGTCTCAAATACACAAGCTAATCCTACACCTAAAGGAGCTGGAAAAAGAACAGCAAATAAAGCCTACATATAGCAGGATAAGAGAAATAATAAAGATCAGAGCAGAGATCAATAATATAGAAATTTTTTAAAAACCCCAGGGGAACAGATCAATAAAACTAGGAGCTGGTTCTTTGAAAGAATTAAGAAGATTGATTAACCCCTAGCCAGACTTATCAAAAAGAAAAAAAGACCCAAATTAATAAAATCATGAATGAAAGAGGAGAGATCACAATCAACATCAAAGAAATACAATTATAAGAGAATATTATGGGCAATTATATGCCAACAAATTAGGTAATCTGGAAGAAATGGATAAATTCCTAGAAACATATAAACTACCAAAACTGAAACAAGAAGAAATAGAAAATCTGAACATACCAATAACCAGCAAAGAAATTGAATCAGAATCAAAACCTCCCAACAAACAAGAGTCCAATGCCAGACGGCTTCCTAGGGGGATTCTACCAAACATCTAAAGGATAAATACCTATTCTGAAACTGTTCCAAAAATAAAAATGGAAGGAAAACTTCCAAACTCATTCTATGAAGCCAGCATTACCTTGATCCCAAAGACCCCACTAAAAAGGAGAATTACAGACCAATATCCCTGATGAACATGCATGCAAAAATTCTCAACAAGATACTAGCTGGTAGGATCCAACAGTACATTAAAAGGATTATTCACCACGACCAAGTGGGATTTATTCCTGGGCTGCAGGAGTGGTTCAACATCCACATATCAATCAACGTGACACACCACATTAATAAAAGAAAGGATAAGAACCATATGGTCCTCTCAATAGATGCAGAAAAAGCATTTGACAAAACACAGCATCCTTTCTTGATTAAACCCTCCACAATGTAGGGATAGAGGGAACATATCTCAGTATCATAAAAGCCATATACAAAAAACCCACAGCGAATACCATTCTCAATGAGGAAAAACTGAGAGCTTTTCCCCTAAGTTCAGGAACACGACAGGGATGCCCACTTTCACCACTGTGGTTCAACATAGTAGTAGAAGTCCCAGCCTCAGCAATCAGACAAAAAAAAAAAAAATAAAAGTCATCTGAATAGGCAAAGAAGAAGTCAAGCTCTCACTCTTCACAGATGACATGATACTCTATGTGGAAAGCCCAAAAGACTCCACACCAAAAATGCTAGAACTCATACGGAAATCAGCAACGTGGCAGGATATAAAATCAGTGCACAGAAATCAGTTGCATTTCTATATACTAACAATGAGACAGAAGAAAGCGAAATTAAGGAGTCGATCCCATTTTCAATTGCACCAAAACCATAAGATACCGAGGAATAAATCTAACCAAAGAGGTAAAGGATCTATACCCTGAAAACTATAGAACACTCATGAAAGAAATTGAGGAAGACATAAAGAAATGGCAAAACATTCCATGCTCATGGATTGGAAGAACAAATATTGTTAAAATGTCTATACTGCCTAGAGCAATCTACACATTCAATGCAATCGCTATCAAAATACCATCAACTTTTCTCACAGACTCGGAACAAATAATCCTAAAACTTGTATGGAACCAAAAAAGATCCCAAATAGCCAAAGGAATGTTGAAAAAGAAAGCCAAAGCCGGGGGCATCACAATTCCAGACTTTAAGTTATATTACAAAGCTGTAATCATCAAGACAGTATGGTACTGGCACAAAAACAGACACATAGATCAATGGAACAGAATAGAGAACCCAGAAATGGACCCTCAAACTCTATGGTCAACTAATCTTTGACAAAGCAGGAAAGAATATCCAATGGAAAAAAGACAGTCTCTTCAACAAATGGTGTTGGGAAAATTGGACAGCCACATGCAGAAGAATGAAACTGGACTATTCCCTTACACTATACACAAAAATAGACTCAAAATGGATGAAAGACTTAAATGTGAGACAGGAATCCATAAAAATCATAGAGGAGAACACAGGTAGTAACCTCTTTGACCTCAGCATAAGCAACTTCTGGCTAGACACATCTCCAAAGGCAAGGGAAGCAAGGACAAAAATGAACTTGTGGGACTTCATCAGGATAAAAAGCTTTTTCACAGCAAAAGAAACAGTCAGCAAAACCAAAAGACAACCGACAGAATGGGAGAAGATATTTGCAAATGTCTTATCAGATAAAGGGCTAGTATCCAAATGTATAAAGAACTTATCAAACTCAACACCCAAAGAACAAATAATACAATCAAGAAATGGGCATAAAACATGAACAGACATTTCTCCAAAGAAGACATACAAATGGCTAACAGATATATGAAAAAAATGCTCAACATCACTCAGCATCAGGGAAATACAAATCAAAACTACAATGAGATACCATTTCACACCAGTCAGAATGGCTAAAATTTACCAGTCAGGAAATGACAGATGTTGGCGGGGATGCGGAGAAAGGGGAACCCTCCTACACTGTTGGTGGGAATGCAAGTGGTACAGCCACTCTGGGAAACAGTATGGAGGTTCCTCAAAAAGTTGAAAATAGAACTACCCTACCACCCAGCAATTGCACTACTGCGTATTTACCCAAAGATACAAATGTAGTGATCCAAAGGGGCACCTGCACCCCAATATTTATAGCAGCAATGTCCACAATAGCCAAACTATGGAAAGAGCCCAGATGTCCATCGACAGATGAATGGATAAAGAAGATGTGGTGTATATATATACAATGGAATATTATGCAGCCATCAAAAAGAACGAAATCTTGCCATTTGCAACAACGTGGATGGAACTGGAGGGTATTATGTTGAGTGAAATAAGTCAATCAGAGAAAGACAATTATCATATGATCTCACTCATATGTGGAATTTAAGAAACAAAACAGAGGATTATAGGGGAAGAGAGGAAAAATAAAACAAGACAAAATCAGAGAGGGAGAAAAACCATAAGAAACCCTTTTTCATAGGAAACAAACTGAGAGTTGCTGGAGGGGAGGGTGGGTGGGAGGATGGGGTAACTAGGTGATGGACAGTAAGGAGGGCACATGATGTAATGAACACTGGGTATTACATAATACTGATGAATCACCTCTACCTCTGAAACTAATAATATATGTTAATTAATTGAATTTAAATTAAAAAAACATGAATGAAAAGAAACATTTGCTATCTCTAAAGTTCCCCTTAAATATGATTTACCTAACAGACATCTGCACAAACACAAATAATTTTATTCACATGTTAGAACAGTGTTTGAGTAGACAGTGTTTTAAGGACACTTAATACAATCAATTTCTTGAACTCAGATTTGAATTTTAAAAAAAACTATATTCAAGCTCTGGGTATTTTACTTACAGAATTTTGCATGTAGCTCACTTCTTTCTGCACAAAGGTAAAATACTATTTGTATTTGCTTAATTCCCCATATTTTGCTGTTTCAACATGATCTTGTACCCCCAGTCATTTCATTGTTAGTCTAAGCTTACATTTCTTTCACTCTCAGCCTTTTCTGAGCTCATTTTCTCTCTTTATGTTCTCGAGTATAGCTTCGAGGTATCGGGTATTCCTTCCCAAGGTCCACAACAATTACCTCCCTAGAAAATGTCACTCCTTTTAAAGGTCTTTTGTGGTTTTCAACACCTGAAGGAGTTCTAGTGAGAGGTGTAGGTGGTTTTTGCAAATCTTCATCCTGTAAGAGAATGGAACAAACAGTATAAAAGATCAATTTATGAAGGCAACAAGTCTTGCTTTAAAAAATGTTATATTTTTAATTTAGTTTATATTTTAAATTCAATAAAGAAACATTGTTAGTAAGAAACAGAAGAAGTGTTTCTAAATGATACAGGAAAGCAGTGATAATCCATCATGATCTCATTTTCATATCTCTATGGGTAGAAAGGGGCCCCCGAACCATCGTTCTGCCTCTGGGCATGGGCCTTGTGTTGAGGGAAGATGTGAACTGTTCCTATCAGAGTCCTGACAGGGAGCTCAAGAAGGCCCGGGCAATGTTTGTGTGCTGTTGTACAGCCTGGAACCAGAACAGGGACATGGGCTCTGGTCCTGAGCTTGGCCGCAGTGGAGGAATGACCTTGAACAATTCATCTCATTTTATCATTTGTAACATGAGAGGGCTGGATCCCTAGATGATCTCCAAGGACTCCACCAGCTCTAAGATCCTAGGATTCTGAGAAAAGCAAAATGAAGGGGGATTATTAAGAACAACACAAATGTAAGAGTGAAGAATGAGCAAGTGTCTAGATTTGGCATACATGACTGGTTTAATAACATGAACTGATGAACTAAGAAGAATGGTTTAGAAGACTGCAGACTTTGTGCTCCTTCCAGGTAAAAACTTAAGTTTCAGGCAAGACCATCTCATTGTACCTAGCCAAAAAATTTACCACTTTTCAATCAAACACATTCTGACCTGGTCCTTGGGAGGAGATAAGGCGATCTCCTCTTCACCATTTCCTCCAGCATTCTTAGGCTCTTGCTTCTCTTTTGTTTTGTCCTCCTCCTCTTCTATGTTCTCTTTGTTTTCTAAGGGTGTGTCTTCTTTACTCCGTCTCTGGACAAGAATGCCAGGCCTCATGGGTGCGTTTAAGTCCGTGATTGGTGTTAGGATAGTCCTAGGTAATCAGCAGAATTTTTAAAATTCATGCATGTTAGCCACCATTATCATACCCCAAAATGGCTTTCTATCACATTCTACAATACAGACTTACTTTTGTTGGTCTCCTGAATTGTTTGTCTCCGCATTAGCAGCTAAACAATCTTCACCTCCATTAGCATCTGTACAAGGACTTTTTTCTGTCTCTTCATCTTTCTTGCTTTGGAAACTGAAAATGAATAAGCAAAAAATTCAGAAAAAAAAAGAATGGTCTTGATTTACTTGGCATGGAACTTCACTTTTAAATAGGAAATTAGAATTTCTAAAATTCTGAAATGGAAAAAATAAATAGCTATAGCATTATTTGCTCTATTTTAAATTGATTTATATTATTTCTAGATACATTTGCTAGTGTGACTTGAAATCTGATCCCAATTTATCAGCGTGGATTTATACCATTTATATAAAAAAACCACCAATAAAAGGAGGATGCAAATGAAGCAAATTAGAAGGAGGATGAAGAAAGTGATTGCTGTGGTTTCAAAGCTCATAGGGTTAGCTAGAAGAATCGTCCACTCTCACAATCACAGATTGTACAAATATTCTTTTCCAGCTTAGTTTGAATGTAGTTCTCTTGTTCTTTAAGTTTTCTAGAAACAGAAGAATAAAAAGCTATTTTCACTGTTGTTCTTTTGATCGGCTTCATAAAAGATGCTGTGCTTGTTTCGATGAAGTTGACTCACACTGGCTAATTTCTCTCCATAAATGTGGTGGGGGCTGAGGTGGTTAGAGGGGAGACTGAGCTGGGACACGTGTGATCACACAGCTCACCTCCCCTCACCCCAAAAACTATCAGAATCCAGAGGATAGGAATTGGAGCAGCTGGAGCCAAGCCCAGCTCCCCATTCTTCTCTCTTCAGTGACGTCATAGAATCATGGAACGGTTCAGTTAGAAGGACCAGAGTGCCAGCCCAACCCTGCCCATCACCTGGAGTTAGGAGAACTAAGAAGCTCTTCTCTGGGCTGCCGTTTCACTGTCCTCTCCTCTCAGAGGGCTGGGGTAGAGGCCATGGGGCACCATCCTGGCACTCTTTGGACAAGGATTTTCTTCCTGCTCTCCAAACACCAGCTTTCCTTTCTTAACCTGAGCCTATTTCTTTACTGCTTCTTTCACAGACAATGAACAATCAGTCCCACTTCCTTCTTATAAAATCCCTCCCTATAGTAATCAGCTTACCTCCAAATGGATGCTCTCCAAGCTAAATAGCCCATCCTTCTAATACCACATCACTGGACCCATTTCCTGGACAAATAAGCAAACTAGCAGCTCTAGAAGCCGTGGCTGAGGAAGCAGGAGCAGAGCAAGATGACCCCACCCCCAACCTAATTTCAGGTGAGTGAGTGATGCCCATAACAAGAAGGGGGAGGGAAGAGTTAGGGTCTTCTGAGAAGCAAAGAAAGGTACAGGAATATGGCAGCTGCTGCCAACCACATCTAAAAAATTGGAAAATGAGTTCTAGGAGTCTCTGGGCTGTAGCAACACTGGCTCTCCTTCAGAAGGGCAAGGACTGTGGCTTTTTAATCTTTGGATACTCCACCAACTCAGGACCTACAAATCACATAAATGTTGAACGGATGGGTGTGTGTAGCAGGTGTGGTGTGTATGTGTGTGTGTGTGTGGTAGCACAAATGGAGCTTGTTGGAGGGCTCAGGCCATGCCTAATTTTTTAGAACATGTGAACATCTGAGCCACTCCTAGCAGAGTGAGCAGAATTCATGGATGCTTCCTCCAGCAAGGCTCCCAGATGAAGACTCAGAGCCCATCTCACTCTCCTTACTCTACACTGCTGCCAGATTGAGACTTTAAGAGCCCAAATCTTCCCATGTCTCACGTACACATAAAGGATTTTTCTGGGAGATGGGAATATTTTAGATCTACTGTTGGTTACACAGGTCTAGACATATGTAAAAACCCATCAAACTATATCCTTAAGATTAGTGTGCCTTGTGTCATCTACTGTGTGGATATTATACTGAATAGAAAGGGAAAAGGGGCCCCGTCCCCACCCTGAATTTAAGTATTTGCCGTGAGTAGCGCTGGACTGGAGTGCACTGCTGCTATTTGGTCCTGTCTCCAAGACTGCTTAACAGATGTAGTCTGAGACCAGAGACCTTTAGCAATAAGTAAGGGCTGACAAGACTATTGCAAGGGCTTTCCTTCACTGAATGTGACTTAGGAATCAATATCATATATTTAACATAATTCTGAAAAGTGAAAGGTTCTCCAACTTTGGTCCCTAAATCACACTTTAAGTGCACTGGACTGTAAGTCGGTGATGCCATGATAGTCAAAGATGGGTTCCAGAGCCTAACAAAATATACTTTGTATGCAGGCATGTGCTCAAAAATTATACATGGTGGGAAATTACAACCAATTCTACAGAAATTAAAAATATCCTAAGAGAGTACTATGAACAATTGTATGCTGACAAATTGAATAACCCAGATGAAATGGAAAAATTCCTAGAAACACAAAACCTATCAAGACAGAATCATGAAGATCTAGGAAATCTGACTAGAACTATGAGAAGGAGACTGAATCAATAATCAAAACCTCCAAACAAAAAAAAGACCTGGACCAGATGGTTTCACTGAGGAATTCTATCGAACATTTAAAGAACTAACCAATCTTTTTCAAACTCTTCCAAACAATTGAAGAAAAGGGAACATTTCATAACTCATTGTATGAGGCCAGCATTACCCTGAAGACACTACAAAAAAAGAAATCTAAAAGACTGATATCCCTTATAAGTACTGAGGCAAAAATCCTCAACAGAACACTAGCAAACTGAATTTAGCAGCATATTAAAAGGATTATATACCATGACAAAGTGGAATTTATTCCACAAATGCAAGGATGATTCAACATACAAAAATCAATGTAATCTGCCACATTAACAGAATGAAGAGGAGAAAAATACATGATCATCTCAATTAATTCAGGAAAGGTATTTGACATAATTTAGTATCCTTTTCATGATGAAAAACACCAAATAAACTAGAAATAGAAGGAAACTATCCCACAATAATAAAGGTTATATATAGAAAACCCACAGCTAACATCATACTCAGTGGTGAGAAAGTATTTGCAAATGACATATCTGATAATGGATTAATATCCAGAATAAATAAAAAACTCCTATAATTCAACAACAACAAAAAAACCCAATTGAAAAATGGACAATGCATAGACATTTTTCCAAAGAAGATATGCAAATGGACAATAAGTACATGAAAAGATGCTCAGCATCACTAATCATTAAGGAGCAAATCAAAACTACAATGGGATATCCACTTCATACCCATGAATACAGCCATTATTTAAAAAAAAAAAAAGAAAAGAAAACAACAAGTGTTAGAATGTGGAGAAATTGGAACCCTTGTGTATTGTTGGTGAGAATGTAAAATGGTGTGGCCACTCTGGAAAACAATATGGAGGTTCCTCAAAAAGTTGAAAATAGAGCTACCCTATGACCCAGCTACTGGGTATTTACCCCAAAGATACAAATGAAGTGATCTGAAGGGGCACGTGCACCCCAATGTTTATAGCAGCAATGTCCACAATAGCCAAATGATGGAAAGAGCCCAGATGCCCATTGACAGATGAATAAAGAAGATGTGTTATATATATTATATATATATATAATGGTATATTACGCAAGCCAACAAAAAGATGAAATCTTGCCATTTGCAAGGACATGGATGGAACTAGAGGGTGTTATGCTAAGCGAAATAAGTCAATCAGAGAAAGACAATTATCGTATGATTTCACTGATATGTGGAATTTAAGAAACAAGACAGAGGATCATAGGGGAAGAGAGGAAAAAATGAAACAAGATGAAACCAGAGAGGGAGACAAACCATAAGAGACTCTTAATCTTAGGAAACAAACTGAGGATTGCTGGAGAGGGGTTGGGGGATGAGGTAACTGGGTGACGGACACTGGGGAGGCTGTGTGTTGTAATGAGCACTGGGTATTATATAAGACTGATCAATCACAGACCTGTACTCCTGAAACAAATATTATATGTCCATTAATTGAATTTAAATTTAAAAATATTTTTAAAAATTAAATATAGAGTTCCATATGATCCAGCAATCTCAGTTCTGGGTATATACACAAGAGAAGTGAAGCAGGGACTGGAACAGATATTTGTACACCCATGTTCACAGTAGCACTATTCAAAATAGCCAAAAGGTAGAAACAACCCAAGTTGGGATATATTATTCAGCTTTAAAAGGGAATGAAATTCTGATACAGGTTACACAGAGATGAACCTGGAAGGCATGATGCTAAGTGAAGCAAGTACCTGCAATAGTCGAATTCAGAGACACAGAAAGTAGAATCATGATTACCAGGTGCTAGGGTGAGGGGGGAAATGGTGAGCTATTGTTTAATGGATACAGTTTCAGTTTGGGAAGATGGAGAAGTTCTGAAGATGGATGCTGGTGATGGTTGCGTAACAACGTAAATGTACTTAAGCCACTGAACTGCACACTTAAAAATGGTGAAAATGGTAAATTTTGTATTTGTATCATAATTTAAGACAATTACTTGTGGAACAGAGGAAAGGAAACCCATCTGTAGTGGCCTGGTATGTGGCAGGCACTGGAAGAAAAAAACCACCAGCACACAGAAATCTTGTTTCTATCGCCATCCTCTTGCTCAGTTTGTCTCCCCACTGTGAATGCCCCAGCCCTGCCTCAGCCCTTTACCTCCCCACTCCTGCACTGCCCTCACATGAGGCCATCACCATCCACTAGGCTTGCTTCCTTCTTGCTTTCTCTAAGCTGTCATTTCAGCTCAGTGACACACCATGTCACCTACCTGCATCCCAAACCCGTGCCCTGTCCAGCTCCAGCCGCACGCCAGCGGGCAAGTGGCAGGGGCTTTCACATTCTTTGTCATTTCCCACCTCCCACCCCATTTATTCCTTGACCTCAGGCTCCCAGAATCCTAAACATTATCCCTCCTGTTATCAAAACCTGCTTTCTAATCCTTCAAACCAAGAATGTCCGATAGAAACTTAAAGTTATTCCACTCTCAAGGATATTTGTATCTTAACAAGAGCTAAAAGCAAAAGCAAGACAGGGTAGAATTTCAGGCATCAGCCAGCAGACGGGGAGTTCCCTTTGGGGCAAGGAAGACTTTTCTAGTGCTCCTCACATCTGCCACACTGGGGTCAGATATCAACTCCTCCTAGGGCGAGCAGTTCTGCCCTGTCCCCCACTCCTGCCTTCAGGCTCCTTTGGGGTAGTAGCCAAAGGGTGGGCAGTTCCGGTAGCAGGGTCTGTGGCAGGCTGTGCTCCAGATGGGCACAGGGTGCATGTGAATCCCCAGCCACCTCCCTAAGGCCTTGATCCATGCAATTTGGTGATGTCCTCTAACAAAAGCATGATCCCTGAATTACAGGATCAAGACAAGGACATTGAGAGGCCTTACACATCACAGCTGCCTGAATGTGAAAACCAGGGGAGCACACAGGACCCAGGTCTGGCCAGTCAGAACAGTCCACAGTTCAGGAGTCAGTATGGGATCCAATCAGCTCAGTCAGTCTCAATGTCAGGATACTTGCAGAAACTACCGGCAAAGAGGAGAACAGCGCTGACAGAGAGAGAGAGAGAGACAAATTACAAATGACTCTGCTTGATCTAACCATGCTTGAAATCTTGGTTTTTTTTGCTGTGGACTGGAAGCTGTAAGTTGTGTGACCTGACGCCTTTCCTTTCTGGCTTAAGTTGGTCCGAGTGGGGTTTGTGTCTCCTGCAATCCAAAACTGCTGACCAACTCGCTCTGTAACCAGAATCATACCGCTTCCCTTTCTGAGTCCTTGATTTCTAACACAAGAATCCTCACTTCTTCACATAAGAGCCATTGCACCTGTCCACCAAGTCCTGAGCTTGTTGGGCATTAAATAGGTCCACTCTAGCCTCCAATGACAAGTGAAATGAAATGAATGCCTTTTTTCTTTCTTCAAATGAGTGTAGCTGTTTCCCCTACTATAGCTGGTGGAGCAGCGTGGAGGTCTTATTTTAGATTTTAGAAGGCCATGTGGAAAATACTGGCACTTACAAATGTGAAGCTGTGGTATTGCACAGAGCTCCTGGACTGAAACAGTTTTTCTTCTATAACAATGGCTAAAATCTGTCAATTTTTACTAGAGGAAGGAAGGAAAAAAATGATATTAAACACTAAGATAAATAGCTAATATTTTAGTACATATAATTTCCACATAAGTGAAGGCTGTTCTGCTGAAAAGCCTTCATTTTTCATGATCCACAGTTAACCTTTTCATGCAGAAGCCATTTAAAACCTCACAAAGTTAGGGCACCTGGGTGGCTCAGTCGGTTAGGTTTCCAACTCCTGGTTTTGGCTCAGGTCATGATCTCAGGGTTGTGAGATCGAGCCCCATGTCAGGCTTTGCACTCACCAGGGAGTCTACTTGGGACTCTCTCTCCCTCTCCCTCGGCCCCTCCCTCTGTTCTGTCTCTCAAATAAATAAATCTTTTTTAAAAAAATAAAACCTCACAAAGTCAGTACAGCTTGATAAGGCTTTTGGGCTATCCATTCATCACCCAGTTGTTTCTCATGTAACAAGTAACACTGAGCTACACAACAGGAAACGCGGCCCTTGGCAGGGGTGAGGGTACCAGGAGAGCACTTCTCTCACTAAGGAAATGGGCACCAATCCCCAAACACCACAGTTCAGCAGAGGAATCTCAAATTCACTACAAAAGATTTAGCAAAACATTATAGCTAATATTTATTCACCTAGAATTGAAACATCTTTGAGAAAGTGTCCGAAGCATTGTACTATTAATATTACATTATAACCACCTCAAATCAGGTAAATACGTTCCTGGCTTCAACTACCAGAGCTGTAACACCCGTGTGCACACCCAGCCCAGGGACATTTTAAAGTCCCTCTGTCTTGCAGTCTGCTACTGGCTTCATGAGGCTGAGAGACTCCAAGTTGAGGAGTCAACCACCCCTGAGTCATCATTCTAGTGGTCCCATTCAATCTTCTGGTTTGTGAAGGGCATACCTGGGCTGCAGGCAGAGAATGTTCTGGCCATGTATTTGAGCATCTTCTGCCTTATCCCATGCTATGTGGTTAGTAGGCTCAAATTCCAAGGACTATGGGGGCACCTGGGTGGCTCAGTCAGTTGAGTGTCTGGGATGGAGCCCCATGTCGGGCTCTCTGCTCAGAGGGGAGCCTGCTTCTCCCTCTCCCTCTGCCTGTCGCTCCCCCTGCTTGTGCTCGCTCTCTCTCTGTGTCAAATAAATAAAGCCTTAAACAAAAATCCAAGGACTATGAAAAGCAGATTAGTCTCTGATTCCACACCTGTCTGAGATGTCCAGGAAATGTGTTAAAGCTGACCTGATCTATCTATTCCTGGGAGACTTTTGACCTTGTGATTCCAACCCAGGGAAGAGGTGAGACGACATTGCAGCCTACCTCAGGGGAGCAAGCAGGGTTTGTATAGACCAAGCCTTTTGCACATTACAAGCTTTATGTCCTTTATTTATACCTATTCACAGATCACACTTGGATTAACATTGATTGAACAACTCTATTTGTTTTATTTCATTTTTTTAAAGATTTTATTTATTTATTTGACAGAGAGAGACACAGCAGAGAGGGAACACCAGCAGGAAGAGTGGGAGAGGGAGAGGCAGGCTTCCTGCCGAGCAGGGAGCCCGATGCAGGGCTTGATCCCAGGACCCTGCACAATGTCAAGGTTCATCCATGTTGTAGCAGGTTTCAGTATTTCATTCATGTGAGGAAACATGTATATATTTTTATAAATTTAGAATAAAATTAGAATCATGGGGAGACTGAGTGGCTCAGTCAGGGGTGGGGGGGCTCCATGCTCAGCGGGGAGTCTGCTTGAGATTCTCTCCCTCCCTCTTCCATTGCCCATCCCCCCCCACTCTCTCTCAAAATAAATAAATCTTTTTAAAAAAAGAAAAAAATTAGAATTTCTATATATATACTTTGTTAAACTTACCATTTTTATTATAAATATTTCCCCAATGTCTTTCAATAATCTTCAAACAGATGACTTTTTTTAAACACTAGATGTGGTGGATTTTTTTTTCTAAGATTTTATTCATTTATTTGAGAGAGACAGTGAGCGAGAGAGTGAGAGAGCACAAGCGGGGGGAGGGGCAGAGGGAGATGCAGGCTCCCCGCTGAGCAGGAAGCCTGCTGCGGGACTTGATCCCAGGACGCTGGGACCATGACCTGAGCCCTGGGATCATGACCTGAGCTGAAGGCAGACGCTTAACCAACTGGGTCACCGAGGCGCCCCAGAAAGATGATTTTTTTTAAATACCTACACATTTTTCCAGTTTATAGAAGCATTACAACTGTTTTCTTATTGTTGGACAACTTACTGTTTTTATAAATAGCATTGATGGTCGTATTTATAAATAAATATATGAATTAAACTCATATTAAAATATTAATCTTCACTTTTATTTTCAAAAGTTTATTGGCTTCTGGCTCTATCTTTTATTTTAAATCTCATCCACTTTGTTTCACTGTTTTTGGGCTCCAAATATCTTACATTTTGATTTATTACTTTTAACTTCTATTTATTCCCTTTTTTTATATCTTATTTCTAATTTCTTAGGTTCAGTCTTCTATTAGCCTTAGTTAAGGCAAAAGCAATGTTCTGCTTTAGGCTTAGAAAACTGTTAAAAACACTTTGATTTTTTAATAATTTGTATTATTAACTTGTAAAAGGGGAATCCTAATCATCTGTAGATCCCAATAGTTTTGTTTGTTTGCTCCCTTGCTTTTGGGAAGGGAAAAAAAGTTGGAAAAAAACATGCATTGGTGATGTGACTTAAATTTTAAGAAACATGTTTTATAAACGAGCACAATTTCTCATAAAAGCAATTTTTTCTGATTCTAAGCAATTTTCTTAAGCTTAGAAGTTAGTTTCTCTTGTAGATGTCAAGTCTTTCTTGATCAAAGAGTCTTCACATAATACTCTATTTGAATTAAAAGAAACCCCAGAATCACAACTCTGCCATTTGAGCAATTTAATTTTATTAGGAACTCACTTAAACTTGATAAATCACTTTTAATTTTTCTGTTACCCTTTTAAGCTTAAAGTAAAAATGTTCACAGCACATCACTGATAAGCTAATGCTCAGATGTTTTCATCTCTGTATAAGATTTTAGTCAGTATTGGGCAAAAACACATACTGGTTTTATTAGATTTTCTGAGAACATTTTTAGATTTACAGAAAAATTGAGAAGATAGTACAGAGAGTTCTCATATACCTCATACCCCCAGTTTATTATTAACATGTTACATGAGTATGGTACATTTCTTTCTATTAATGAACCAATATTGATGCATTATTATGAACTAAAGTGCATAGTTTACTCAGATTTCCTTAGCTTTTATCTATCTTAGTTTTTCCTAGTTTTTATCTCATGTCTTTTTCTAGTCCAGGATTCCATCCAGAATACTACATTACAATTAGTTGTCGTGTTTCCTTAGACTCCTCATGGCTGTGACGGTTTCTCAGACTCTTGTTGTTTTTGATCACCTTAACAGTTTTTGGGAGCACTGATCAGGTACATTGTAGGTTGACCCACTACTGGAATTTGAGCAGACACATTTTTTATTTTGGAATTTTCTTTAAAGTAAAGGCACATACATATTTTTAATTCCACATCTTCTACCTTTCCTTTGTTGATTTACTCAAACATTTTAAATCGTCTTCCTCCTCTTTGTCCTCATTTATATTTTTCCTTTATGTACAGTGATGTTTGGTAATGTTTGATAAACAGCATAGCCAGTCTACAGGGGTAGCTCTAAGGAGAAAGCCCACTCTACGAACGAGGGGTTGATAGCACCTTCGTCCTACATGTCCCAGCCCATCTCGATACCCTTTTGTTGTATCCCTAGGGTTTTTTTTTTTTTTTAAGATTTTATTTATTTATTTGAGACAGAGAGAATGAGAGAGAGAGAGCACATGAGAGGGGGGAGGGTCAGAGGGAGAAGCAGGCTCCCTGCCGAGCAGGGAGCCCGATGCAGGACTCGATCCAGGGACTCCAGGTGTATCCCTAGGCTTTAAAGCACAGCTTTCTGAAACCTTACCCTGGGGAACTTGAGAGCCTCTACTTTGTGCAGACCCCAAACCAGATTCACCTCGATTCACCCCCAAATCCTAGATCTCTAATCCACAAATGGAAGAAGTTCGTGGTTTAAAATTCATGGTCTTCGAAAGACCAAATCATTGGATCTGGGGCAAACCAGGACAGTATGGCCCTTATTAAAATGCCCTTGGGCTGATTTTGCGGAGATCAAGTTGGTGTTGGACGTTGTGATGTTTTTACTTCTTTGATACTCCTTCCTTCTCTTTGAGTGTGGACGCAGCTTAGTAAATCATTCTGGCAAATAAAATGCAGCAGAAGTGAGGACCTGTGAGTTCTGAAAATAGGTGGTAAAATGCATTATGACTTCCTCTTTGCCTTTTCTCTTGGCTCACCTGCTTTGGGGGAAGCCTGCTGCCATGTGGTGAGGATACTGAAGCAGCCTATGGATGGGGGCATGTGATAAGGAACTGAATCTTCCTTACGATCATTAGCAAGGAAATAAAGCTTTTTGCCAGATAATCCTGTGAGTAGGCTTAGAAACTGATCTTCCTCCAATTGAGTCTTCAGATTATTGTAGACCAACATCTTGACTGCAACCTCAAAAGAGACCCTGACCCAGAATCACCAAGCTAAACCATTCCTGAAATCCTGACTCACAGAAACTACGAGATAATGCTTACATTAAGTGGCTAAATTTGGGATCATTTGTTATGTAGCCATAGGCTGTGTTGTTTACATTTTTAATTTTCTGTATACTATAATGTTTTGATATCTTAAAAACCTTTCTCGCTGGGGAGACTACCCATCCTGGGGCTAGCCAATTCTTAGAGATAGCATGCTCAGCCAGGAACATGACTTTGATTTGCAGACTAACCAATCCAGAGCCATACCTCCTCTATTTGGCCTGTGCACCCCAAAAGGCAATATTCCTCTGCCTTAATCATCCCAGGGCCAGGCACTAGGCAATGATAGACTACCCCTATAGCTTAGAGCCCATAGAAATTATTCAAATTAGCCAATCCTAAACTGTTTACTCTGCCCTGCCTTGTTTTTCTTGCAGAAACTTCAATAAAGGCTGTGGTCCCAGCTCTCTCCTCACTCTTGCCCCCTTTTCCTCTTGCCCCACCCTGGTGCTCTCCCATGTGGCCCTCTGCATGCTGTGCTCTGCCTCCTGAGTCTCTAGGACTTGTGAGTATAATAAACTTTGTTTTCCCGAGCCTCTCTGTGTTTCCCTCTGTGGCCACACCTGACTGACTTCACATAATAGAACCCAGAACACAGCTTGGGTGAGGGAATGTGTAGAGGGAGGACCAACAAAACTCTATAGCAAGTCTCAACCTGTCTCAAAGTGGTTCTGTCCGGGTGGGTCCATTTTCCCTGTCAACATCACAAGGTGATCCTTTCAGTATGTGACTCACCATGGCTCTCATTTATTGTAAAAGTCAATAAGGTGCCTTCAAGAACTAGGGTTCTTTTTTTTTTTTTTTTTAAGAACTAGGGTTCTTATGAATGGAGTTTATGGATTAAAGTCAGTTATGCTCTTCTTGGAGGTGCTCTTAATATGTTCGGATAACCAATGGAGCTAGAGGGGATTATGCTAAGTGAAATAAGTCAGTCAGAGAAAGACAAATACCATATGATTTCATTCATTTGTAGAATTTAAGACACAAAACAGATGAACATAGGGGAAGGGAAGGAAAAATAAGATGAAAGCAGAGAGGGAGGCAAACCGTAAGAGACGCTTAACTATAGAGAACAAATGGAGGGTTGCTGGAGGGGTGGTGGGCAGAAGGATGGGGTAACTGGGTGATGGGCATTAAGGAAGCCACGTGATAATGAGCATTGAGTGTTATATGTAAGTGATGAATCACTGAATTCTACCTCTGAAACTAATAATACAGTATATGTTAATTAAATTGAATTTAAATAAAAAATTTTAAAAATACGTTAGGATAACCAAGACCTCTCTAGAATCTAAAAGAAAAAAAGAAGCTGGATGCACCTCCACCCCAAGAGTCCTGGGTCTCCTGGGGCCCAAAACTTAGGTCAAAGGAATATGGCTAAGTTTTAGTTTTTTCACTCTTGGCAGAATTAAGAGCTATCCCCAAACGCAACTTAATCAACCCTTAACACCTGCCCCTAAGGAGAATGTCCATGACTTGCTGTAGCATTCTTCCTGGGATCCCTGGTAGGACCCAGTATTGTGCAACCTGGCCATTATTTCCTACCTAGTGTTAGGAAAGCACATCACCTCCAAATCTGGCCCAAGAGGGCCTAGGCTCTAAGCCACCTCATCCAGTACTTAAAACCTGCCTTCATGAAAATTACTCTTGAGACCCTTCCTTTAGGCTGCCCCATTGGAAAGCCCAACCACTTGGCCCATCAAGTCCACGGGTCCTTATTTCCAGGAATCAGTTGCACATGCTCTACTTTGGACCAGGGGAGCCTCACAGTGCTAAGATAGATGGGACTAAAGGTTTGTTTCATTTTCCTTTCTTTTTTCTTTTTTTGAGTTCTCAAGGAACCTTTCATAGATACTTTCACAGACACCCCAGGCAGTGGAACTGGGCTCTGTCACATGCAGTGGGCTGTGGGAAGCACTGTTAATAGCACTTAGGACTGTGGAATCCATGACATGATGCACTTCTGGCCCTGAGACATCCACCCTCCTACATATTGGTTAAATTACTTCCTATCTCAGAGAAAACATACTCACTCCCCCTGAAGAAACTTGTCCTTGATTAACACATTCCAGGTGCCATATTTAAAGTTGGAGGAGAGACATTTTTGTTCTACACAAGGGGTGTCCAATAAAACTGAGTGTCGGGGCGCCTGCGTGGCTCAGTCGTTAAGCGTCTGCCTTCGACTCAGGTCGTAATCCCAGGATCCTGGGATCAAGCCCCACATCCGGCTCCCTGCTCAGTGGGAAGCCTGCTTCTCCCTCTCCCACTCCCCCTGCTTGTGTTCCCTCTCTCTCTCTCTCTTTAAAAAAAAAACAAAAAAAAAAACTGAGTGTCGTGGCTAGACTTTGTATCTAAAGCAATGTTTTCAAGTTATACCTTGTTCTTGAAGCCCATCTACGCTCATGTTAGCCCCAGGAGGCTAGGGGGCTGAAAAGAGCAAGAAAGACTATGGGGGGGGCTTCTAAAAAATTACTGAGGAAATACATATCAATCACAAAAAAATACATATTTTAAAAAGGTAAAAAATTTGCCTTTTATTCTAGCACCCAGAAATAACCACTGTTAACAAAATTATCCTTCCTAACTTTTTACAGACACCCAACTAGAAGAAAACAGTCCTTACATGTCCAGGGGCTGACCCTTACCAGAAGAATGAGTTTGTCAACTGCTGGCTTCCTTACAGAGAAGGTGGTAGGAGAGGAAGCTGTACAAAAGAGAGGCTGCACTGTTCAGGTTCAGGAGTGTGAGCTCTGGGAATTATCGGGATGTGAATCCCTGCTTTTCTACAGGGAAAAGGTCACACAGTACCTTTTGTGTGTGTGGTACTGTGTGACCTTGGGTAAGTTACTTAACCTCTCTGTGCTTCACTGCCCTCACATTAAGGATGGGAATAATAACTGTTCCCATAGAACTATTGTGAGATTTAAATGCACTAATACTTATATGCTTGGAGTGGCGTCTGACACATGGCAAGTGCTCAATAATTTTGTTATTGCTATTGTTATTAAGAATTTAATCTGGGTGCCTGGGTGGCTCAGTCGTTAAGCGTCTGCCTTCGGCTCAGGTCATGATCCCAGGGTCCTGGGATTCAGCCCCGCATCGGGCTCCCTGCTTGGCAGGAAGCCTGCTTCTCCCTCTCCCCCTGCTTGTGTGCCCTCTCTCGCTGTCTCACTCTGTCAAATAAATAAATAAAATCTTTAAAAAAAAATTTAATCTGGGGGCACCTGGCTGGCTCAGTCAGTGGAGCATGTGACTCTTGATCTCTGGGTTGTGAGTTTGAGCCCCATGTTGGGTGTAGAGATTACTTAAAAATTTTAAAAAATCCTAAAAAAAAAAAGAATTGAATCTCGTTTAATTGGGTAAAAGAAGATGGTAATTTCACAACACCTGCTGGTTCTCTGAGTAGCTTGAGAGCAGCAAGCTCAATGTCTCTGAAGCCTCCATTTCTTACCCACATGGAGGCATCTGGGTGTGTGTGAAGATGCGCACTGGGGAGGATTAAAGAAGGAGTGTTTTCTTGGAGAGGAGGGAGTAAAAGGTGGATTTCAAGACAAGAAAGACTAGGACCCCTGTAGAAGGGTTGTTTCTTTTTCTTTTCCTTGGGCTTTGGGAACCATCATAGTTAGTATCCAGTTCGAGGGTCCCCCACCATAGTGTCATTCTCTCCAGTTACCTCCAAGCCTTCAGTGAACCCTTTACACAGAGCTGTTCAAGGACTTGGTTTGGACAGGAAAGGGTATGCTCGAAGCTTCTTGGACTCCTACCCTCCCGCCATTCCCTGTTGCTTCCGCCAGTGCTGGAGGGTGAGGCAGAGGAGCCAACACAGCAAGGACAACATTGGCCAGAGTTTGAATTCCATTCCCTTAGTAAGTACTCAGATGAGGAACACTCTCCCTTCTCTGTGTGTTTCAAGAGACATGCACGGCTAAACCCTTCTTTCAGAAACAGTATCCCTCCCTCTCTTTTCTCTCATCCACCTTAAGGTGGCCGGTCACCAATTTCTTTCCTCTCAAGTATAAAATTCCTCAAAAAATGATTTCTGATCTCTTTACCCTTATTGTTCCCAAGGTTAGTTGTTTCTTAAGTGGCATTTTGTTCATCTTATAAGGCAAATAACCTCAGCTAAATTTTGAAAGCAAAAATTTGCCTCCCCCACTTTTCTTACTGTGGTAGATTGTGTACATGATGCCGCTCCTGCCCTGGAACCGGAGCTGGCTCATGACTTACTCAGACCAATAGGATGTAAGAGAAGAAATGCTGTACCCTTGTGGCCTCGCCCTTTAGAGGCCTGCTGGCCTCTGCATTTCCGCTCTCGGAGCCCTGCGGCACCAGGGAAGAAGCCTTACCTTGTAGCTAGAGAGGTCCAGCTCCCATGAGGCACTAAACATACGAATAAAATTCCAGCCCAAATGAGTGATCCCAGCTGTCTTCATCTGTTTGGGAGGCTTTACCAGAAATATCATAGCTTATAAACAACAGACACTTACTTCTCATAGTTCTGGAAGTCCAAGATCATGGCACCTGCAGAATGAATGTCTGGTGAGGGCCCTCGTCCTGGTTCCTAGACAGTTATCTTTTTGCTATGTCCTCACATGACAGAAGGAGGGAGAGAGAGCCTCTCGGGCTTCTTTTATAAGGGCAGCCCTATTCATGAAAGCTCTGACTGCCTCACCTAATCACCCACAGGCCCCACCTCCTAGTAGCAGACTCCAGGGGTTAGGACTTTAACACATGAATTTTGGAGGGACACAAACATTCAGACTACAGTGCCAGGCTCTGCCAAGTGGAACAGAACCACCACTTAGCTGATTTAACACAACTCATAGAATCATAAAAGGTAATAACTACCAAACCCCACTTCTTAACATATCAGAATTACAGGCTTTCTTCTACATCTGAATA